AAGAATTGTGCCTTAAGACTGCTAGGCTAAAACCTGGACTTGCACTGGGTGATACTCTCTCTCTGCATCCCCTACTCTCCAGCTTACTTCCCTTAAAAACTTCACTCTCAGAACCACAGCTGTGTGAGTAAAGTCTGAGTCAGCAATGAATGTTGGACCCAAATGATTAGTATAAAGAGGTGTAGAAGTGTAGTATGTCTGACCTAGCAGCTTTGGATGTTTACTGCTATGGATATTATTGATGGGGACAGTTCTTTTTGTGAAGTGGGAAGAAGACAGACTTGGCCATGGCCCCTCCCATATTGTGTTGGCTCTTTTTGCAGGATTGAATTACGGAAATGTTGGAGAGGAAGAAAACCAACATCCCTTGGGTACTTAACTACCAGGTAGCATTGTTTGCATACCTGGTTCATTATCTACTCTGATTAAGTGAGTTTTACTATCTGCTGCAAATGATGCTAGAGGGCTTTTTACTCCTTTTCTGCACCAAAACTCCTAACCTTCCTCATAGCATTTAATGAATTTTCTCAGAAGGTGATGCATGTACTTAGTACTAAATCAGAAAGGTACAAAAAGATTTTCAGTTAAATCTATGTTTTTCTACACCATGTTCACTAGTCATCTTGTTCCGTTCCTTCCTCTTCCTGTGGGTGAACCACTGCCACTTGTATCTATGAATACATTGATTTTATAATATGTAAATATGAATATATATTTTAAATTAAACATTTTTACAAAACTGATGGCATTTTTTTACATTTTGATGGATTTTATTGTAAAAATTTTCTACACATATGTAGTCTGATTTTTTGTTTCTTTTTTTAATATTATTATTTGTTTTTATTCATTGTTGCCTGTTTTCTTCCCCTCTACCTTCCCCAACCCATTCTACAGTGTACCTCTTGTTCCGGATTATTGTCATACACATAATATGTAATTATATATTTCTTTTGGACAGTTTTTACCCTCATCTGTTCTATTACAGTGTTCATTATCTGTCCACTCTTTGCCCAGTCTCTCCCCAGCACCCCCATGTCTATCCTACTTTAGAACAGCAATGTTACCAAGTATTTGTCGTTTTATGACTGAGATCTTTCACTTATCCTAATGTCCTCCAGGATCCCTCATGTTGTATAGTTCATTGGTTTTGAGTGTTGCTTAATATTCCGTTGTGTGAATACCATAGTCTTTCTATTTACTGTTGTTGGGTATTTGGGTTAATTTCATCTTTTTGGTGTTCTGAATAATGCAGCAATAAGCATGGATATGCATACATCTGTGTGAGTCGTAGCTCTGGTTTCTTTAGAGTATATTCCCAGTGGTGGAATTACTGAGTCAAATAGTATTTCTGTTTCTAACTTTTTGAGAAAGCTCCAGATGGCCTTCCATAGTGGCTGTAACATTCCTATCAGCAGTGAATAAGAGTTCCATTATTTCCACAATCTCACCAGCATTTGCTGTTTGCTTAGATTGATTTTTTCTTAAATTTTTTCTTCCCTTTCTCTCCCTTCTCTTCCCTGAAACCGAAAACATTTTATACACTGCTGCCCCCTTTTTACTATTTTAGTTTCTTGTTGGTGAATGTCACCTCATTCTTTTCTGCTGTTGTTTTGTCACTTATTTAACCTGTGTCTATTGATATTAATTCTTTTTCTTTCTGTAGATAAGTTTAACCCACTTACATTTACTGAAAAGGATAGCATTGATCTCGTTGTTGTTGTTATGTGCCATCGAGTCTCTTGCAACTCATAGAGACCCTCTGTACAAGAGCCCTAAATTCCATTCTATCCTGTGCCAACCTCACCATCTCAAACTCACTCATTCCCACCACCCCAATCACAGAATTGATCCATCTCATTGAGGGTCTTCCTCTTCTGTGCTGTCCCTCCACTCTCCCAAACATGATGTCCCTCTCCAAGGACCAGTCCCTCCTTGCAACATGCCCAAAGTATGTCAAACGAAGCTTCAGAATCCTTGACTCCAAGGAGCATTCTGGCTTCACCCTCTCCAGGACAAACCTGTTTGTTCTAGCAGTCCGTGGTATATTCAACATTCTTCTCCAGCACCACAGCTCAAAGGCATCAATTCTCCTTCTGTCATCCCTATTCACTGTCCAACTCTCCGATGCATAGCACGTAATTGTGAAGACTATAACCTGGATCAGGCACAGCTTAGTCTCCAGCCTGACGTCATTGCTCTTTAGTACTCTTGAGAGGTCCTTCACAGCAAACTTTCCCAATGCAATTCGTCTCTTGATTTCCTGGCTGCTGCTACCAAGAGTATTGACTGTGGAACCAAGCAAACTAAAACTGTTAACTCTCAATCTCTTCACCATCCTTACTGATACTGCCAATTAGCCCAGTGGTGAGAATCTTTGTTTTCCTGACGTTGAGCCTCAATCCATATTGGAGGCTGCGGCAGTCCTTGACCTTTCTGCAGCAAGCGCTTCAGGTCTTTCTCAGTTTCAGCAAGCAGGGTTGTATCATCTGCATAACACAGATTGTTGATGACTCTTCCACCAATCCTGATGCCACATTCCTCCTCGTACAGCCCAGCATCTTGTATGATCTGTTCTGCATACAGATTGAAAAGGTATGGAGACAAAATACATCCCTGATGGACCCCCTTCTTGATTTTGAACCATGTAATGTCTCCTTGCTCTGTTCTGACGACTGCCTCTTGGTCCAAGTATAGGTTTCGCATTAGCACAATCAAATGTTCTAGAACTCCCGTTTTTCTCAGAGTCAGTCATAGCTTGTTGTGATCCACACAATCAAAAGCTTTTGCATAATCAATGAAGCACAGTGTATTTTCTTTGAAAAAAAATCTCTCTGTGGACTATGTTTGCTTAGAGGGCATGTTTATAAATGTATTGAATTTACAAGTATAACTTTATACCATGTTTTCCCAGAAAATACCTATTTACCCCAACCATAAGCAATGATAAATTGAGTTATTTACCTCCTCTGCTCCCATCTGTTTTAATTATATTCTTTTTCTTAGTTTTACTTTGTCTTTAAACATGCTTATGTCTCTTTTTATATCTTTTGAGTCCTGTTAACAAAAGACAAGGAAATCAGCATTCTTATCTGCCTACTTTAACTTTTATATTATTTTGATATTTTTTTCCTGCAGTCATAAAGCCTCAAAGGTTTAAGATTAAATAAATTAAATGTCCTCACCATTATTTTTGCCATAGTTTCTCCTTTTGATATCTTAGCTAGTTGAAGTTCATCCTCTACTAGTTTCTTTAAGAAGGAATCAAGGAAACTACTTTCCCTAAGTTCTTAAATATTGGAAAATGTTTCCTTTATACTTAAACTGTAACTTGACATCAGCTGTTTTGAGAGTTTTATAAATTGTGAAATAATGTTGTAGAAGCCATCAAGTTGAGTATGACCCTCAGAGACCCTATGAATGACAGATCTGAACCCTGTCCTATCCTGTGCCATCTTCACACTTTCTGACAAGTTAGAGCCTATTGCAGTAGTCATGGTGTCAATCCACTTGTCATTCAAGGGCCTGTCTGCCCTTCACTGACCCTCTACATTTTTATTTTATGTTTGTGGGTACTGTCAAATTGGATCTGGCGGAGGAGGATTGCCCCTCCTTCTCCAGCAGAACAACTGGTGGATTTGAACCGCATACCTTGGTTTTACAGTACAGCTTTTTGCCACTAGGCCACCAGAGCTCCGACCCTCTACATTTTTGAGCATCATGTCCCTGTCCAAGCAATAGCCCTTCCTAGCAACATGCTTGAAGTATGTGAGGCATACTTCCAAAGAGCACTCTGGTTGCACCGTCTCCAAGACAGTTGTTTGTTCTTTTGGTAGTCTATGGGATGTTCAGTGCTCTTCTCCAGCATCACAGCTCAAAGGCATTGGTTCTTCTATCATCCTTATTTATTGTCCAGCTCTTTGATGCATAACAAGTGATTGGAAAGACCATGGCCTGAGTCAAATGCACCCTAGTCCTCAAACTGACACCATTACATTACACCTCAATAATTTAGAGAGGTCCCTGACTGCAAACTTTCCCAATGAATACATCTCCTGAACAAATTGCACTGTGTGTGAAATAATATACACAGAAAAGGAAATAAAATAAATTTGTGGTATGATCATTTAATGAATAATTGTAAAGTGAACATCTGTCTAACCACTACTAAAGTCAAGAATTAGAACTTTACCAACACCTTAAGAACTCCTTTTGTTCCCATTGCACTTTACTCCTTTTCAGAGATATCTTTTCATTATCACCACTTGACTTTCTTTATAATGTTATATGCATTGGCAAATGCAAATTGATTTTGCCAATTTTGAAGTGTATACAAGTAGAATCACACCTTATTTATTCTTTTATACTTTGCTTTTCTTTTAACATAAGGTTTATCCACATTGTTACTTGCAGCCCCAGTTTATTCCGATACATTGTTACATAGTATTCTTGTTATATGAGCATCTTGTAGTTCGTTTCTCTGTTCACTTTTGATTAATTTCCAGTTTGGGGCTGGGAGAAACCATGATAACATGTCTCCTGATACACATATGGATATATGTATCTTGAGATTTATATTTGAGAATGAGTGCTTTGTTGTTTCATTCTCTTCTAGCACAGTGATCCTTTGAGGTTGGTGGTATTTCCATGTTGTAGATGAAAAAACAGATTCCAAGTGATTGAGTATGTTGATGCAAGGTTATAGTGGTCTTGGACTCTAGGACTGGCATTTGAACTTTGTTTTCTCCAACTCTAATGTCCATTATCTTTCCACACTGCCTTCTTTGTATAGCACTTCCTGGCAATCAGATAAATTAGGCATTGAAGCATTACCAGGGAAGATAAACATTTGTTTCTAAAGAGTAGATTGTTAATCTTTGGTGGATGATGTAGGAGGTAGTCCTTCTAAATTTTTTTTCTAAAAGTCCTTTCCAATTTTATAAACGATTCACCCAACATATTTAGCTTCTTAACAGTTTACTTTTTCCTTTTTCTTGTTTTAGCATCCAGCCAGTGTATGGAGCCCAGCACCCTCCTCTGGACCCTCGGCTCACCAAACAGTAAGTCAGCACTACTTTTTTTCCATCCAAGTCCTGCTTCCATCCTCTTTCCCCAGCACCCTTTCCTAAATTGTTGAAACAATCTTTCTGTTTTGACCTTTCCCAGTGTCTCCTTTGCCTTAAGTAAGGATTTTATAACCTCTGAATGATCTACTACTTAGTAATAAGTTAATTTATATCAGAGATATTGTGCTGGCATTGGAAGCTGACCTTTGTTGTGCTTAGTGTTGCCTTTTGTGTTCTAGTCAAAAGGTCTTTATTAACTAAATATTGTCCTTGAAATTACATGATTGAGAACTCTCTTCCAGCCGGGGATCTGATTTCTGGGGCTTATTGCTTTTGAATAAATGTAGGTCTACTGCCTTTTTTCCACATTTATGAGGACTTGGGAAAATAAAATACACTGTTGGACTAGCCTTCTTTAAGGGCATTCTGGAGGCTTAGTGGTAAGGAGTTGTGCTGCTAACCCAGTGGCATGAGGTTCAAATCTACTGACTACTTTCATGGGCAAAAGATGGGCAGCTTCTTCCCAGGGGATTTTCTGCCTCTGAAAACCCACTTATGGGTCAGCTATGAATCAGTTCTGACTCAACAGTATATAAAAACAATATAACAGCCTTCTATATGTTCTCTTTCTCTTTGTCACAGTCAAGGAAACGTGCATATACAGTGGAGTAAAAGGTCTCTGGGTGTGAATTCTTGAATAAAACTGTAGTAAATTATTTTCAAACCCAACAGAGATCCTAGTTAAATCTGAGATGTGTGGGTATGTATCGTGCCCCAGTTACTGCTTTAGTACACCATTCCATTAAGGGCCTTTGCTCGGCCCCAATGAATTGAAATGAGTCAGAAGGTTGATCTCAGATTATCTAGTAACTGTGGCCTTTGTCTTTGTGCATGCCTAATCTTAGAGGCTTATTTTTAAGAAATCTGCAATTTGGCTCCTGCCGCTGGGCTGGCAAGGGCTGCAGATGCGGGGCTGTGGCTGCCACTGATGGGAGGTGGAGCCCGGGCAGGCCAGCTCTGGTGCAGTGGCCACCCTGGGGAACAAGCAGACCATCTTCACCGAAGAGCAGCTGGACTACTGCCAGGACTGTGGCTTCTTCGATAAGAAGGACATATTCAAGCTCCAGAGATGGTTCTAAGAGCTGGCCCCCAACCTCGTCCCCTTGGACTACCAGAAGAGCCCCATCATCCACATGCCCATGAACCTCATGGTCCAGATGCTGGAGCTCCAGGAGAACCCCTTCAAGGGGAAAATGGTGGAGGCCTTCTCTGAGGAAGGCAAAGGAAACCGCACCTTCGCGACTTTGTGGACATGTTTTCTGTGCTCTGCGAGTCTGCTCCCCATGATCTCAAGGCAAACTGTGCCTTCAAGATGTACAGCTTCAACACTGACAACTTCATCTGCAAAGAGGACCTGGAGATGACACCGACTCAGCTTACCAAGTCAAAGCTGGGCAAGGAAGAGGTGGTTCTCATGTGTGAGAAGGTCATTGAAGAGGCCAACCTGGATGGCTACGCCAAGCTGAGCTTTGCCGACTTTGAGGACATGATCGCCAAGGCCCCCGACTTTCTCAGCATGTTCCACATCCAGATCTGAGGACACTGCCAAGGCCGCAGAGGCCTGGAAACCCACCATCCAGCCTGTTGTCTGTATGGATGTGACTACCAGGCCACCTAGGAAAGCACCTTTGGCCTCTGGGTTTATACTAATGAACATTTTCTGTAACCCTTTAGGCAAAAACCAAAAATTCTTCACCTTTCTAGGTCCCCCTGTGGCCCAGCCTTAGAGCTGTAGTCCCTCCAGGCTCTCCCTCTGTGTCCTCTCTTCCAAGTTCTCAATACCATTTCTAACAGTGGTGAGGAAAATGACCCGTTCAAGTGCTAGACAGACACCTCAGTCGCCCAGGACAGAGTGCAAAAAAGAAAAAAAGGGGGGAGGGGAATGGACAGGCTTTTCATTTAATGAGCTATGCAGTCTTTCCAAAACCTGAGTCTGGGCCACAGCCTGCCTGCTCCTCCTCTCCACACCCCTGAATGAAGCTATCTGGACAGTGGGTCCAGGGGCTCTACCTCCTTGCTGCCTGTGGGCTGTGAGCCCCATACTATCCACCCTTCCCAATAATCTGCAGTCCTAAAAAAAAAAAGAAAGAAACCTGCAGTTTGTAGTGAATTCAGAATGAGATGAGTCCTACTTCTCATCAGGTTGTGTAATCTTTCTGCACAGCCAATGGAGAAATAAAGATAATGTGCATTAAAATATTTTGAATACCTAGGGGAAGAAGCTACATTAAATTCATATTACCAACATCTGAATGTTTTCTTATAGCTTAATATGTAGTGAATTTACTATCTTTCCTCTGATTCATTTTCATAATTTAGTCAGTATGTTCTTGTACTGTCAAGTCAGACCTGACCATAGCTAACTCTCCAGCAGGTTTTCAGAGGCATTTAATCACACAAGAAGAAATTGCCCACTCTTCGCCCACAGAGCAGCTGGTAGATTTGAACTATGTGTCAGTGGGTTGGCAGCACAACTCCTTACCTCTAAGCCACCAGAGCTCCCTAGTCAGTATGTTATTGTTCTGCTCCATCAAATCAGAACTGACCCATAGCTGACCCTCCATCAAGGCAGTAAATTACACCAGAGGAAACTGCCCATCTTTTTCCTGCAGAGCAACTAATAAGTTTGAACTGCATGCTTTTGGGTTGGCAGCACACCACCCTATCACTAAGCCACTAGAGCTGCCTGGTCAGTATGTTTTTGTTGTGTACTATCAACTAGGAACCAACCTAGAGATTGCCCACATTTCTCCCACAGAACAGCTGGTGAATTCCAGTGCAATTCCTTACCACTAAGCCACCAGAGCTCTCTAGTCAGTATGTGGAATTACTGGATTTCTATGGAATCGTGGTTGTTATTATTTTTCCTGTTAGATACTCAATATGATTTATTTAATATACTTATTTGAAACCAACAAAGTATGTAAACTCCTTGAGAGCAGGGAATGTGTTTTGTTCACTATAATACCTTTGGTATAAGGAGTTCTGGTGATACAGTGGTTAAAATGCTTAACTGCTAACTAAAATGTCAGCAGTTGAAACCCACCAGCTGTTCAATGGAAGAAAAATGTGACAATATCCTATAAAGATTACAATCTTGTAAACTGTGTGGGGCAGTTTGTATTGAACTGAATGGTGCATAGCGTCACAATGAGTCAGAATCGACTGACCCAGTGGCATTACTACTAACACCTAAAATAATAGCACACGATAGCATTGAGCAAACATTTATAGAATGAAACCATCTCATTTACACAGACAACAGATTTTTTTCCTAAATGCTTCTTATTTTGTACCTGGAATAAGCTCCTCCTAAGGCATTGGCATTTTTTCTGTAATACTTCCATAAATGGAAGGAATCCTACCATTTCCTTGGTTTTTATCACGAATAGACCATCTTGTCACTGACTACTCTGACAGGCCCTGTCATCCACACAGTCTTCCCTGCTGCTTTCCTGCTCAGAAACCATGATTTTATTCAAATATTGAACAGATGGCAGTGCACTTAGAGCAGGTACCAGCATTGGCTTAAGCCTTTTATAATAATTCCATGATAAACATCAGGGTGGACTCATGACCTGGTTTTTGTCCAATGAGATAAAGAATAGAAAAGGAAGGGAGTTCTATAAAACTTTTCTTTTTTGATCAGAGAGATGTCATTTTGTGAGGAAAGCCTCTTGTTGCTCCACTCAATCTGCTTTTGCTTTTAAATGGGGTAGTGTAAAAAGGAGATGCTAATAGCTATAGTGGATAATTTGTAACCCTGAGAGAAAGGCCAAGAAAATCCTGTCATGTATAGACTTTGTTGATTGATAACAGATCCATTTTAGCACATTTTATAATAACCTTTGATAAACATATGACTAATCTGTCCATCCATTTATACTTTAGGTAATGGGAATGTCCTGTCCCATTTCATGTTTGATTCTGGGTCGCCAAGCCTTGTCTACATTTGTCATCAGCAGAGTTTTCCCTAAGTCTGTCTTTAAGATAAGGGCACTCTGGTGGCCTAGTGGCAAGAAGCTGTACTGCAATCCCAAAGGCCACCATCTGCTCCACTGGGGAAGGATGGGCAGTCTCTTTCTGTGCGATTAACTACCTCTAAAAACCCTCTGGAGGGTCAGCTATAATAATCTTTAGTAATCTGTAAGAGAAGTCTTGAGAAATATCACTTGTTCAGACTTAACCTTGGAGATAGTTCAGGTTTGATTCCGGACTACTACCAGAATGCAAGTCATGTGAATTTTTTTTTATCTTTCAATGCATATAAAAGTTATGTTTATGCTACATTAGAGCTCTTATGGCTTAATGGGTAAGGAATTGTACTCCAGCCCGAAGGCAGGCCGTAAGACCCTACCAGCTGCTCTGTAGGAGAAAGATGGATAGTTTCTTCTGGAGCAATTTGTAGCCTCTGAAAATGTGCTGGAGGGCCAGCTATGTGTGGGTTCTGACTTGACAGCAGTGAGCTTAATGAGCTCTATGCTTTAAATGATAGTGTAAATATATTATGAAAAAGTTTGAAATATTGCAAGAATTACCAAAATGTTACTCAGTGACATGAGGTGAGCACATTGCTGTTGGAAAAATGGTCGTAGTAATTGAAATGAATGAGGGAGAGAACAGTTTAAAAGCAATATATTATAGGGCATTATAAATCTCATAAGAGTCCGGAATGAAGGTTGCAGAGTGGAGTATACTCGGGGTGGCGGGGTGGCGGGTGGGTACGGGGGGATTGTATACCAATGAAGGAATTTTTTTCTTTTACTTTTCAAAGAGAAGAGCAAACGGGGCGGGGAGGGGGGATAAAAGTACAACAATGAATGAATGGAAATCCAAAATCTCTGTAAGTATTCATTGAAATTAAAAAAAAAAATGGTCCTAGTAGACTTTCCCAACATAGGTTTGCTATAAAGCTTTAATTGACTCAACAGAAA